TTTGTGGCTGATTAACCCCAGAACCCAGCCGAGTGTCAGCATTAGGATTTTCTGTTCTCTGCCTTTAATTGCAGGTACAAGGGCCCTGTCTAGGGGCCCTGGAACTGGGACGTGGAGCCCCAGGCAGGACTGAATGGAGAAGCCCCTGGCCTGGCTTCTCCAGGCTTCCAGGTCCCTAGTTCCCTTCAATTTCCCCACCCCCAGCCTCCTTAGGCTGTTCAAGACCTCAAAGGAAATCCCAGGGGTGGGGGGTTGGGGGGGTGAGGGGGAGGAGACGTCCAGATGGGTGAGCCAGAACATCATGAGCTGGTAGAATAATCTCCACTCCGATGCACCTGCCTGATGGATGACTTTGGCCCTCTGCCCTCCCAGGGTCACAGCTCCAAAGTCCCCCTGGCTGGCCCCACCCTAGAACCCTGGCAAGAGAAAGAGCAGCTGGGACAGTCACAGTCGACTATGTTTCCTCTTCAGTCCCATTCTGGGTTCTAGATGTGCCCTCTTACCCCTCCCAACTGTGGGATTGCTCTGTGTCCCCTCTAATCCCTCCTCCAGGAGTCATACTATATGCACATATGGGGACTCTGAAGACTAACCTGTACAAACAGAGGGAATACCATGAGGGGGCTACAGGCCCCAGGGCACTGGTAGAGACAGGGACAGAATTTGGGGGTGGCCAACGATATGAATAGATATGGTCGAGCCAGGGATCCCCTGACGCCTTCATCTTCACACCATCCCGTCCCAACCTTACCCACCCAGATCTCCCTATAATGAAGAAATTGAGGGATTATGGGTGGGGGGAGTGACAGGGAATAGCATGGAGAAAGGCAGATAGTGCCTTTAGGATGCAGTGTTCAGCAGAAAGAGGTGGGGCCTCCAGTCGGAGGGCCTGGCAAAGGAGAAGGTATCTCCAGGGACTCACTGAGGAACCTGAGGGAGGAAACAGGGCCCCACTGGACAGACAACGCCACTGTTATTAAGTTTCCTTAAAACTTACAACAAGGTGACCTGACTTGTTAAAGAGGAGATCTGCTGTAAGACCATTGCCCTCTGGGAGCTGTCCACACCCCACCCTCCTGGGGCCCTGCCTCTACCCCGCATTCCATGTCTAGTCCTTACAGGTCAAGGGGAAAAGAAAGGTAACCTCAACCCACCCCTCTAACCCCCCCACCCCCGCTTCCAAGTGGTAACCCAGCAGGATTGAAAGGGACAGGCCCTTTAATGGTGACTTCTCAGGAAGACCCCTGCACCCTAGGGTGAGTGGATCCCAGACTCAGGTCATCTTTGGGGGAAGGGATGGCTCAAGGGCTGGATAGAAAAACTGATGACTTAAGAAAAAGTGCCAACCTTTGAAATAATACTAACAGTATAATAATGATAATAATAATGACTGTGCTCTCTAGAGCTTGCCAGAGAGTCACTGTCCACTTTCTCTGATCACTGGTGGCAGGGAACTTGCTCAGAGAGGCTAGGTGACCTGCCTAGTGTCACACCCCCAGAAGGGGGAGTTGAATCAGATTAGAAGGGCTCAGCCTCCAGTCTCCACCACCTGGCTCTGCGGCCTCACTCTCTGGAGACAGCCCTTAGGGAGCAGCTCCCTTGCTCCTTCTTTCCCCAGCTGAATGGATAAGAGCCCCATGGGTGCGGCAGAGGCTCCCCGACCTCGGAGGCTTTGTGGAGACTTAGTGCTATGTCAGAGCTGATTCCCTGCCTGCCTGTCAGCCCCAGGCTCCCGCCTCCTCCTCCAGAGCAGGGACTGAGGGCTCAGTGGGCTGTCCATGTGGAGACTAGGGGGTACCAAGTGTAGCCCCTCCCCACTCCTCCCTTGCCTCATTTCCTCCATGGAGTCTCTGCAAGGGTCAGTTGTATTTATTGATCAAGACCTTATTTTGCCCACTAGCCTGAAACTGTAAATTTAGGGGGGGTTTGTGCCTTTGTCACCACAATATCCACACCTCAGGTTACAAGCCTTGCATACAGGAGGCACTCAATAAATGTTGATAGAATGAAGGAAGCTTCTCCGATACCCTGAATCTGGAGAGCCCAGGAACAAGTCCTCGGGGACACCTGCCTCTGTTCTCTATCCTATCCTAGCAATTCTCAGAACCCTATGGGGCTTAATTTTCCATGACTGCTGCTCTACTCAGAGTCCGCCCATGCACAGCCCTGCTTGTGGGACCCCTGCCCTCCTCTGACTCACCCCACCCTGTTTGTCCTTTCCCTCTAGCCCCACTGGTCTCCTTCTCTTCCTCCTACATGCCCTCCTCGGTCCCACCTCAGGGCCTGTGCCCTCAAAGTCTCCCCATCCCCATTCCTAGTTTTTTGACTTCATCAGATCTTTTTCCAATAGTTTGTGTGTCTAGAATTCTTACTGGTCCCTAATTTGGAGAGGGTGGTTCCCCTCCTCTGGAACTTCACTTCCAAGATGGGCAGGTTTGTATCTGTCTCAGACTAGGCATCCCCAGCACCAAACTCAGAGGAGCTTGGTGGATATGTGAGTGAATGAATGGGTGAATGAGTGAGTGACTACCTACCCCACTCTGCCATCCTACACTCACAGGGGACTCAAGATCTGCCTTCCATGTAGGCAGCCATCAGTTAGACCCAGGATGGGGCTAAAATTTCTGTGGATGAACAGCTGAGGAAAAGCTCAGGCTGCTGCCTCTGGGTCGCTCATCCTGTGAGTTGTCCCAGCTCTCCTGCACCCATACCCTGGACCACTGCCCCTAGAAGAGTGGCTCCCTGTTCAGCCACCAGCTTCTCCCCTGCCTTGTCTGGAGGCCATTTCCTGGGGTGAGTCCTGGAGCACCCAGCTATCCTTGCATCCTTTCTGGCCAATCATGGACTGAGGGGCTCTGTCAGGAATGGAGACTCAAGGGCGCCCACTTATTGCCCCACCCCTGATCCCCATGTACCACTACCAGCCTTGAGGGGTGAGGTCCAAGCAGGCAGCAGGGCAGACTTGGAGGTGATCAGTCACTAGGTCAACCGTCCTAAGATTGGCCTCTTGAAGGGGGTCCCTGAATCTCATGGCAGGTGAGCCCAAATTGGAAAGAGGGTCTTTCCAGGGCAAGAAGGTGGATGCAGAGCTTGTGGGGCCTGGGCAGGGCGGGAGGCCTGGAGGGGTCTCTGGGGATAGTGGCCATTGCTTTTGTGAATTTCTGGATGTTTATATGTTGGACTTGAATTCAGAAGGGCCCCCACAGAAGCCTGTGCAGTCCAGATTCAGCCCATGGGCACGGTCTGAACGTTTGTCGTGGGGCAGAAACCCGTATGTGGGCCGGGGCATTGAATGTGGTGCAGGGATGTGTGCCAGATCCTGAGGGAGATGTGGGTGGTTTCATCAGTGTTTTAGAAAGAGCTCCTGGTGGCCCAGGCAGGGGAACAGCCAGTGCAAAGGCCTGGAAGGGGGAACAACTGAGGGGAGATGGGAGGCCTGGGTGGAGGTGGCGAGTGGATAGGGGGATGCAGGAGGGATGACGCATGGCAGAGAATGACCCCTTTAGAGTCATCACAACCCCACTCCCAGTGCCTTTGACATGGCAGGGCATGAGTGGACCCCAGCCCTCCACTTCTTGATCATCATAGCCCTGGGCACTTGTCACCACAGCCAAACCTTCCTTGGGGTGTCCCCGACAGGTTGCAATGAAGAACAAGCTCTCAACAGGAGGGGACAGGAGTCTGCTGACCCTAGGCTGTCACCTGGCCCTGCTCAGCCTTACCACCATCACACGTCCACAGGACCACCCCCTGCCCAAGCAATTGTCCACTCATTGATTCATTCATTCGTTCCAACTATTTTCTGGGCTGCAGAGAAAACAAAACAGATCCTGACCTGGTACAGAGCTCAGGGCCAGGAAGAAAACAGATGTGGGGCTGGAAGAGAGATAGGGGAGCTGCTGCCTTCAGGTGCCTCCAGGTGGGAAGGACAGAACCCGACTTGATCACCCTCAGCTGGGTGGGGACAGGGTGAGGCTGAGGTAGTGAGGCCACCTGGGGGTAGGATAAGAAAAGGGTTCCCCACCTCCTGGTCCTCAAGGCTCCCCCTGGCTGCCCTTAATGTTTGATGAATGATTTGCCCTAGGACAGCCTCGATGCCAGGGGAAAGAAGCACGGTTTGGGGGACCCCCCCAAATAGTCTCCTGCTGTCCTACCATCCTGGTATTGTTAGGGGGATTAGGATTGGGGTGGGTGCTGAGTCCCAAAGAACGTGGCCTTGAACTCGTAGCCCCAGCAAGTAGCCCTTCGACTCCTGGAAGCCCCCTGGCCCAACTCCTAGGCACTTTCCACTTGTCAACATCCTGCTTCTCCACCCCAAGCCTTCCCCCACACGGGGCAGACTTGTGAGGAGGTCGTTTCGGGAGGGTGTTCAGTTGCTTTGCAAAGTTGTTCCCTAAGCAAGTGCGCGTGGCGGAAAAAGGTTGCGGGATGGCTGGAATTTGGGGCCCTAATTTTGGGAAGGGGGTGGCTAGGAGTTCCCGAGGGCTGTCAGGGGCAGGAGTTGTCGCTTGGTTAATGTCCCCTCCCTCGCGCAGGGCAAGAAGGCAAGTTTGAGGACCCGCTGAGCGCTGGGGTGGTCGAAGCAGCCACGGGGAAATGTGGGATCTTTAAATGTAGGCGGGGCTTTGCGGGGTCGGCGGGGGCGGGGCCAACCCGAGAATCAACCAATCAGCAGCACCTCCCTC